AATTTAACTTTACCTCTCTTAAAACGATGCAGTTGTGCTATCAGAAGAAAGAGCTGAGGCCACTCCGAGTCAGAAATGCGAAGAATACATCCCACAGCACGAGCAGAGTCCTACGGGACGGTCTCCAGAGTCAAGCCATCTGGGGCCTCTGACGTCCACTTCCAGATACACATGCCAGAACGCCTCTCCTCCTCCTGGCCATCCAGAACGGCCCTCATTCTCTAGAACTCCTTCCTGCCATCTACAGTAAACCAGCTGAAAGATGCACTTGAACTGTCGGGGCTTACGACCATTTCTTACTTCAATGAAAACGCCTATGGATTTTATGCCAAGAGGGAAACGTTTTAAATCTGAATTATTAGCTTCCAACCATCATCCAAACTGATGTGAAATATTTAACGCTCCACTTCATTTGTTTTGTTTAAGACGGATCTTGTGCTGGGAAATGTTGGCGGCTGTGTTTATACTGCTCAGCCACAGAGAACGCCAAAAGAAAGCAGTTATGTTTACAAGTCGCAGCCTTCGTATCCTGAGTGTTCGTCTCCACCACAGCCATCAGTTAGTGAGGACCTGATACATGCTTTAAAGGTGCTTTACAGAGACTGAGCTGTTCAGTCAATCAACATGCACTTACCAAAGACCTACTAAGTGTCATGCACCTCATCAGGCATTAGGAATAAAAAATGATGAGCAAGGGCAAGGTCAGGGCCCCATGGGGAAAGCAGATAATCACATAAGCAATGGCCACACCACGTGAGAAATGCCGGGATGAGGAAGCAAGTTATTAAAAATAGTATACGAGGCAGAGACTCCACGCGCATGTTTAGAGCTGATGTCTCTAGCTCTCCCGGCGCCCTACAAAGGCGGGTGTCTTTCTACTTTCCAAATAAGTACTCAGAGGCTAGCCTGCACACTGCCCCTCTAACAGCAGCAGCACCTGCAAGGTCACTGGCATCTAAAATTCCCATTCTGTTCTCAACGTTGCACGGGATCATCGGCACTGGCTCATGGAGGCACCGATCAAACATCTGCCTGGCATTCTACAGCACATGGCACACCCTGAGGAGAAAGGGCCACCGCCATGCCACAGCACACAGTCTGAAGGAATGTGCAAGTGGTCTGCAAGGAGCCACCCCAGACTAGTAATACAAAACAGGGACAGACCATGTCACCGGGCCATCTATGGCCATGGACCCACGGAGAGCCTCTCAAAGGGAGAAATCACTGAGGAAGGATTCATTAAGGAAGCGAGACTTCGGTCTTATGATCATGTCAGGTCAGAGAGCTGAATTAGGGAAGAAGGCCAGTGGTTCAGGAAAGCAGTGTGCAGAGAGGTGGCCAGCAGGCTCCTGGGTTAGGCTGAACGGCGGCCAAGGATGTAACCAGAGCACGATGGTGGAGCGAGCCAGCCTGCAGCTGCTGGAAGTGCCAAGTGATAAGAGATGCTAGGGCATCCTGGGGCACTAAAACACCCAGTGTAATAGCGACCGAGAAAACTGCCTTTATAAGAGCTGCTCTCAGAGAGGACTGTGCATGACAGAATCAAGGCTTTGTTCAGTCTCTTGCGATAGAAGGTGAGGCCCTGAAGGGCCTCCTGGAGGCATAATCGAAGGTCACCAATCAGCCTGCTAAAGATGACAGTCTCATTTACTGCCGGGACTTGATTCTGCTTGGAGGTTGTGTCCACCCCATGCCAGAGCTGCATTATTCTGAATCACAGTGGAGGGGCCCAGTGTTGCCAGCAAAGGGTCGTCCTCAGGACCCTGCTCCCGCAGGGCCTCCCCTCCCCAAACCAGTAAACAGAAACTTAAAAAATACTGAGTGGCAGGCCAAGTTATTAGCCTGCCTGGAATACCCACATGCCTCAGCCAGTCCGAGGGGTAAGATCTCTATTTAACTCTTCACTGTGGATGAAATACTTTCCCATGTGTTTGATGATGCGATTTTCACAACAGCCATGACAAACGTACTTAGTCTCTTAAGTTACAGAGGAAGAGCCTACAGGTCAGAGTAGATAAGAGACCTACTCAAGATTATAAAGCTGGCAGGTTGCAGACCGGCATGTCTGTCCAGTGGTCCATCTGATCTATTACTGTTATAATAATCATAATACTTTATCAAGTTCTTGACAGTTGATAGCTTTTACAGAAGGCTTAGGCAGTACACACAGACACACGCACATATGTTCATGCACGCGCACTCCCTCAGTTTTCCTAAAAGTGAAAAAAATAATACTGTATTCTACACTTTTTCTTTTTTTCCTAAGGTCTTTGCCATAGGGCACAGAGAGAGGGAAAGTGAGGAATCACCTCCCAGGGAGGATGACCATGCTGCAATCCCTTCTCTTCCAGTCTCCTCTCAAGATTTTGGGTATGCATGCGCACGCACCAGGAGTGATTTTCAAGCCACTGGATCTGGGTCTATAACCGTAATCTGGCATTTGGGAGTCCAGTGCCTTATTCACCACACTACCTGCTGACCTCTATATTCTACTCCTTTAAAAACCCACCTTCTATCCTCTGGCTGTGGACCTTGTCTCAGTACCTTTATAAGGTAAGTAAACAGCTATTATTTAGATGACTGCTAAAGACACGTAGATAAGATCTTAAATCCTAGATCTTGGTTTGCTTGTAGTTCACTGCCTAGAACGACCTTGCATTTGTGCCCATATCTGGCCATTTCATTTTCTGCCACGAAACTCCAGCCTCCACCCCCAACCTTCTCTCAGTGGCACTTGATATCACAGTCAGGCAAACGGCATCTTCCCACATGTCCGTCGTCCATCAGGACTTGTTTTCAGGAAGTGGCTACATTTAAGTCAGACGGAAAGAAGGATCACGGGACTTTAAAAAGCCTCAAATAAAGAAAACCAACCATTGGGAACCAGCAGTTAGCGTAATGGCTATGTCGCTGGACTCCCACGTAGTCGACCGCGGTTCGCTTCCCAGACCCGGTGGCTTAAAACTCACGCCAGGTGCGTGTACGTGCGTGTCCAAGATCCTGAGAAGAGAATGGAGGAGAAGGGACTGCGGCGTGACCATCCCCCCTGGGGGGTGATTTCTCGCTTTCTGTCTCTCTCTGTCTGTCTGGTAAGTGCACATGCCCTATAGCGAAAAATCTCTCAAAAAAAAAAAAAGAAAGAAAAGAAAACCAACCGCTCATCTCATTTTCTGGCAAAAACAATAGCAGCTATTCAAGATAGATGGGTGTGCATATCTCATTTTTTAAAAATCCCAACTCTGAGTTTCTCAGAGCCCTTCTTTCAAATTCCTAGGCACACAAATTATTTAATAAACAATTTGTCAATGAGTCTTGCACAGTGGGGAGAAGGTTATACGCCGTTCAGCAGACAGAGCCAAAATCAAAGCAGAACGCTGGTGACAGATGAGCAAACCACCTCCCTCCTCATCACGCCCTGGAAATAAAGATCACAAACTCCCCTCGCCAACCGCAGGGAGGCCCCGTTTTTTTCTTTCCTGTAACACATAATTCTACCAAGATCTTAATGAAAATAAGGTCAATATACTACATCTATAAAACCATCATGTTGCCTAATTTTAATCATCTCTCTTTTATAACCACGATATTTAATTAGATCATACACATGGAATTAAAATACATTTTTTTCCTCTTCTTTTTCTAGTTCCAAAGGAAGATTCCATACACCACTCTCTGGTTGAAAATCACAGAAATAAAGTGATTTAATTCCAGTTAAGCCAAATATTTCAACCATACACTTTTAAGCCTTAATCTTACACGTACCCATGAAATGGATTTTTCGAGAGCTTTTCTTTTTAATTCACTCACCAAGTCTCCAAGGTACTAAGTCCCTTCTAAGCACAAGCTCCCATCCATGTTGAGTCAACACTAAACATATGTAGAAATATTGTTACCATAACTTTTTAAAAATTGCTCTCATTCTGTGCTATCATTCGAACTCTAAAAAATGGTAGCTAAACTCGGCTTTCATAATTCTGATTAAGTAATGCAGGGCGTAGGTGTTTCTGAAGCCCTTTTTCATGAGGAAAAAGGAAGCTTTGTATCAGGTACGTACTGAAAAATACATATTTTAAAACACATCCATGCAAGTAAACACATACTTTTTTTGCTTACTGAAAATCCCTTTTACCTACTTCACTCACAAGGCAAACATTCCACAGTCAAATTCTATAAAGTGAGGTTTAAATTTAGATGAAAAACTGGGTTTTCTGCTAAAGTAGACCAGAGCTCAACACCGTAAGATACTGTCAAAGGAAACAGCGATCAGCCATTAGATAATGCCCAAGCCCCCCAAATAATTCTTCCTTTGTTCAACCAAGAGACTGAAAGATTTTACACTGAGAATCACAGCTCCAACAGCAACAGAGGTATGCTCAGAATCCAGATAGCCATATTAGACTCTCATTGATTTGTTAAAAATTTAACATTGTAAATGAAACCAAAGCAACCACCAACCAACACCGCCTGGGTAATTAAATTCCCGACTGGAAGAAGTTTCAAAACCCAAGCCCAACATCAAATCTGGCAAATCTCCATCCACAGTCTACTACTGTTTGCTCATGTTACACTGGAAATTCAGAAAGAGGGAGAATCTTAAGATTTTGAAAGCCTATTAATTTGTACTCTGTTTAAATCGCACATACCCGCTACCTGCAGCTGCAATTATAGTATAATCTTAGCGTTGTCCTCACTGTCTCACAAGGGCAAAGACTGACAAGAGTTAGTGCAGATATCTGTTTTTGTCGGGGGGTGGGGGGAGGGTGTCATGAAAAAATACCCCGAGCACGGAACACTGAGCTTCTCGGCCCCCAACCCTGAGGGTTGGTCTGTGTATTTCCAGTCCCCCGGGCCCTCCCTGGGTAACTCTCCTCTTTACAATTTGCGGTCTCCTGGAGGGGCGAGGGAGAGGCCTGATTCAAACTGGACTTGTTTACCGCCCACTGCCCCCAATATTATGCATTCCCACAAGCCCGTGGCGCGCGCTTCCGGCACCCTCTTACCTGCCAAGTTCCTCGCCGGTGTCGTAGTAATCGTCCACGTTTTCCTGCCTGAACACGGTCATGATAAACTGTCACGCCTCACCAAAGCCGAGCGCACTTCAGCTCCTCTTCCCAAACCATCACCGACGCTCCAGCGCCTCCGTGGGCCCCTCATGCATCAGTCTCCAGTGCTTTAAAAACAACAGCAACAACGAAATATTAATACTAAAATGACAACCCAAAAAGGAAGTAGATAGACCCAAGGCTAAGACCTGCTTGCTGGAGACCCGGGCTCCGGATCCGCCCCTCCCCGCGGGGTAGAGAAGAGCACCCTTTGTTAAACCCGGGTCAGGGATACCCCCCGCCCCGCCACACCAGCCTGCGCGTGGGATCGAGCACCACCGCACCCCATAGTCTGCATCCCCTAACGCAGGGAGGACAACACCGATCAGAACCGTCTCCGGAAGTGACTGGCCTCCCCACCTCCCTTTTCTCTGCACACACGCCCACCCAGCTCCCCACTTCCAGGGGCGCCGTGGAAGAATGAAGCCTCGCCCGGGCGTAACGTGGCGCCTAGCTGGAAGCATCCCTCTCCAGCCAGCGGCTGCGGGGCACCTCGGCGCCTCTCTGAGGCCACCGCACCTCCCCAACCTCCGCAGCCGCCCTCTCCCCTTCCCGGAGCCCGGCAGTCCCTAGAGGAACATTCCTGGCGATTCCCTCTCCGTTACCCGGCCGACCCGGCGTGCGGCCGCCCGGGGGAGCAGGGGAGGCTAGGGAGCGGCCGAGGGAGGCGCCACCGCCCGTCCCTGGTCCCGGTGCCCCGACACAAAGCGCCTGGCCGGGTCCGCGCCACCTGTTCCGACCCAGCCCGCAGGACTAGGGGTGCCTCCTGGCTGCGATCCCACTTCATTCCCTAAAGCAATTTCCCCCAGCCTTGGCCTTCCCCGTTGCCCCGGGCGCTGCGCGGGGAAACGCTGCCTGCGGCGGCTTCCGAAGCCAAAAATTGCCACGCACCCCACG